GCCTTTTTTTATAGGTCCATGACCGGGGCCATATTTCAGCTGTGACGGTTGTTTAGTGTTCCACTTTGTAAGTATAAAGTTAACGTATTGTATAAATATTTCTCAATAAAAGTTACTATAAATATGACTGAGTATAAATGGATTACATTATTTAATGCTACTTTCATCTCTTAGCGTATGTGTCCCATTGTTAAAGAAGTTAGATCAGCACACTTCAGACGGTCCTATCTCTAGAAAACAATCTCTTCCAGACACCCAAGGATAATCTCAAATATTTTTTAAAGTTTTTGAAACAGGTCCTTGTTACCAGCACTTTATTATTTTATGATAGAATCACAGATCATCACTGCATAACGGGTACAGAGTGAATGATATCCAATGTTACGATTCCCTGTTTTAAAACTGCTCGTTTCAGCCAAATGACGTCCACTACTGGACTAAGTAGGCCTTCCCCAAGGATTTCCATAACGACCGATTCTGAAAGCACTGCCCGCATCCAGGTTTTTCCCGCGACCTTCACCAGATCGTCGGTCCACCTAGTGGAGGGTATGCCCATACTTTTCGAGACTCGAGAACTTTTCTACCCCAGCGGCCATTTTACCATTGTAAGTTTAAAAAAATTATCAATACCCAAAATCATAAAAAAGTTATCGTCAACCATGCACAACACCAATACGTGGCACTATGCAAGAGCCAAAATGTCTAATTAACGTCAACAACAAAATTGTGATAATCATTCCACAGCAGCATGTAAGCAATCACTGTGCTCCAAAATATACGGAGATGGGTACACCGGTTCGACAGAGCGTTTAGTTTGCAGTGTGGAGCCAGGCTATTCGGCCACAATTTATGTGCTGCTAAACCCTAAATTATCTGTTCCTGGTAGAAACTGCCAGTTAACAATGACCGTGTGACTGTATTCTCTTGACTGTCTCACAAGTCAAGGGGACAACCATTCCAATGTGAAATGTACAGCATGTAAGCTGCAATAGTTACTATTTTCAACAACAATAGATAATGCTGTCAATTTGTACTTGTATACAGGGCAAATTGCAATCAGTATACATTTTTTAATAAGTTCTGTAGAACAATTATACACTACTACTGTATCTCAATTCTTTTTAAGCATTGTATTCTTCGCAAAAACATTTTCGCAAATTCACCCTGTATTACTTGTAGTAAACGAAATCTGCGCAAAATTAGGTTTATGGTGTTTTAGCCAAGCGCCAACTGACTGTCGAAAACTAATGTAGAGTCCTTTAAATTAATTAATTTTCGACTGTTATCAAAAGTAATACAGTCGAAAATTGGATATCAGCCAAGTTAAGGATTATTGTCGCCAAAAGTGATAATGCAGCGTTGCAGGCGCATTGTCTTGTGTGCTCTTTGAACTTCTCCTATGTTCTTCTGATTAATTTCGTTGCGGGTCCAATGACAGTTAATAAACTTTAACCCCGGGACAAACTTGACCTTCACTGGTTGGGTTTTTATTGGCGGTCAAGCTGTAGATCCTGGTTACACAGGAGTTGCAGCGGTGGGAATAGTCCCGTGCTCTAAATAAAATTCTGTAAATAACCGTTACCAAAACTAGTGTGTCATTTGAACGTACCCATATCTCCAGAAATAAGATATTCATTCATAGTACCTTGTAAAAGGTATCCTTGTAATTAGTAAAAGAATAAAAGCAAAGTTTCCATTTATAACGACTATTCACATAATGTTTCAGGGAAAAACTCTGAGAGAGTAAATATAGATGGCGGCGGGATGAGTTAACCGTAATTACTTTTCTCTTTCATTTTCTTTAAAATGTTTTTCTGGGATCAGACTGTAGATAGGTATATTTTCTTTATTTGCCATAGGAAAATAGCATCTATATATACAGTCCTGGTCAACTAATTAGGGACAGATAGAATACTAAGCAATACTAAGTGTTCATATCCTATTATTGTGAGCTTCATTCAATATTACTGGCTGTTACTTTGTAAACATATTGACTATCAAGAACTCTATTTAACAGAATACAATAACAACTAAAAAACTCACTAACTTAATAAAAAATCTTAATCAAATCACATGAATCGGTAATTATGGTACGGACGGTCTGGCCACCTAATTAGGGACGCTTAAGGTTTTTCTTCTAAATAAAAAAAAAATAAAAAGTAATAACTTTTATTCTGTTCATTTGTAATTTCGGCGTCTATTTGAAAAGCGATAGTCTTATCTTACGAGTTAAAAACTCATCAAATTATTATAGGTAATGGGCTGAAAGAAAAGCAACAATGCGCTAAGTTATAATCAATCTTTATCAGTGTGGATGGCCATACCGGTATATTGCAGATCATCGGAAATGTTCCAAAAACATGAATCTACGATGCAGTGGCTTATTTCAAAATCATGAAACCACAGAAAGTATACCTAGAAGGAAGAGGCCGATAAAAACAACCCCACAAGATGATCGCAGAATGGTCACTCTCGCAAAGAGAGACCCCTTTAAGGGTTTCGTTCTGATCAAGAGCGAGATTTTTGGACCAGAACCGACTGCTGGAGTATCTGCGAGGACCGTCAGAAGGCGACTGGTGGAGGCAAAGCTTGTAGGAAGAGTTCCTCGAAAAGTTCCACTACTGAAGATGGAACACAAAGAAGCAAGATTGGCGTTTGCAAGAAAGTATGGACATAAGGCTTTTGCTCAATGGATAAATGTGCTGTTTTCTGATGAGATCAAGCTAAATCTTATTTCATCCGATGACAGACAATACGTGCGACGACCTGTAAAGTCCGAAATGATACCAAAGTAAACGAAGAAGCAGGTGAAACATACAGGCGGCAATATAAAAATCTGGGGCTGTTTTTCTGGACATAGACGTGTCTGGTAACTTTGGCACGTTGACATTGGAGGCAAGCACGAGCCCAATCTCTGCAGTCCTTTCTGACGCCCGGCCAGACGAAACGTTCTGCAACCAATTTTGCCGAAGCATTGGCGCCAGGGTGGCTCAATGAGTGGAGGCTATTAAATACTTGCCTGCGGAAAAAAGATGTAACAAAAGGCCTGGGAGTTGGTGTGCTGACATCGCAGTACAAGGTATTACAACTTCCAGGTACTTGTCGCTTTTCTAAGCGCAGAGATGAACCTCCGTCTATTAAAGTTCGGAGTTCCGGATCTGAGGCTTGGGCTTGGGCTAATGACTCGAGGTTGACTGGTTCGCTCAACTCATCGATACGCGATAGGGTATCGGCGACGACATTGTCTTTGCCTGATATATGTCGTATATCGGTCGTGAATTGAGCGATAAAGTCTAGGTGTCTAAACTGCCTAGGCGAACAGTTGGTTTTCCTTTCGTGAAAAGCAAAACTGATCGGCTTATGGTCCGTGTACACAGTGAAATGTCGGGCCTCGAGCATGTGTCTAAAATATTTGATGGCCTCGTAAATGGCTAATAATTCGCGGTCGTATGGCGAGTATTTTACCTGTGATGGGCTCAATTTCCGGGAGAAAAAAGCTAAGGGTTCCCATTCGCCGTCGTCATTACGCTGCTGGAGCACTGCGCCTAACGCCTTGTCTGATGCGTCAGTGACTAGCGCGAGCTTGGCTGAACAGCTGGGATGGGCTAGTAACGCAGCGTGAGAGAGGCTTTCCTTGCAAGCTTCGAATGCGGCTAGTGTATCTCCCGCCAGGTTGATGGGGTGTGATCCTTTTAACGAGCCTGTCAAAAGAGCATGCAATGGAGCTTGTATTTGGGCGGCCTGCGGAAGAAATCTCCGGTAAAAATTAAGCATACCCAGAAATCGCCTTAATTGTCTCACGTTGGTAGGGGCTGGAAAATCCCTAATGGCCTGCACTTTTGAGTCTAACGGCCTAGTGCCCTTCTCCGAGATAGAATAGCCTAGAAAGGTTACCTCAGATGCCCCGAAGACGCACTTCGCCGTGTTCACAAGCATGCCGTACTCTTGCAGCCTGGAGAAGATTCTGCGCAAGTGCTCTTCGTGTTCGGCTTCACTTCTAGAGAAGATCAGGAAATCGTCAAGGAACGAGTAAACGAAATCGAGTCCCCGGGTCAACTCATCCACAAACCTTTGGAATGTCTGTCCAGCGTTCCTAAGACCGAACGTCATGAACGGAAATTCGAAGAGTCCAAAGGGTGTGGTAATTGCAGTCTTTGGGATATCGTCAGGGCTGACTGGAATTTGATTGTAAGCCTTGACGAGATCGAGTGTACTGAAGACTTTACAACCTGCTATACTGTGGGCGAAGTCGTGGAGGTGCCTGATTGGATATCTATCAGGTACTGTGCGGGCGTTCAGCATCCTATAATCGCCGCAGGGGCGCCAGCTGTTGTCTTTCTTTGGCGCTAGGTGCAGGGGTGATGACCACGGGCTCTCTGAGGGTCGAGCTGTGCCATTAGCTAGCATAGCTTCAAATTCTTGGCGAGCAATTTTTAGTTTGTCCGGAGCTAGACGGCGGGGGGAAGATGAAACTGGTGGGCCTGGAGTCGTGCGTATGTGGTGTACTGTGTTGTGTGGTGTAGTGCGATGTGTACCAGCTGGTCGAGTTATGTCAGGGAATTCAGCAAGAATTGTGTGATATCGAGTTTCGCCAGTCGAAACCTTTACAGAATGCACATTTTTACATATGGCAAAAGTTGCAACTGTTGCTATTGAAGTAGTGTTATCAATCAAGCGCTTATTGCGACAATCTACAATAAGGTGATAAAAATTTAAAAAGTCTACTCCTATTATGGGCTTAGAAACATCAGCTACTACAAAACGCCAGTTAAAAATTCTACGTAGGCCAAAATCTAAATTAAAATGTATATAACCATACGTTGCAATGTCCGAACCATTGGCAGCACACAAACTGAAGTTGGTCTTGGCACGACGATCTTGAAGGGCCGATCGAGGGAAGACACAAAGGTCGCTTCCGGTGTCGACCAGGAATTGCGTCTTCGTAGTACGATCGGTGATGAATAGGCGACCAGAAGTTGGTGGGCAATCGTCAGTCGCCATTATCGACTGCCCGTTGCATTTCCCGCCTTGTAGTCACAGGGGCGCACGCATTTCTTCGCCTTTTCTCCGAATTTACCATGAAACCAGCACAGCGGGTACTTCCGGTAGCTGGAGTCTGAGCGCTGCCTGGACGACGATCTGCTGTTGGAATTATGCGTCGATCGATTTTGAGCTCTGCTGTTTCTTCCTGAAGCCATGTTTTGGAATTGTCGTCTGAGTTCCGCAATTTCGTTTTTGAGGTCGATAAAAACGTTGGGTGTCACATCACTAACAGCGGCAACTCTGGGCGTTGAAGTGGCGAGATCGTTCACGCGGTCTGCGAGGTCGGCGAGATCATCGATACTTGTGTGCGATGGTTGACCTGCCAGCACTGTCTGCACACCGTGTGGTAGTCTGCTGATCCAGATTGTTTTTAGGAAGTCATCTGGGACGTCCACGCCGGCGAGGCTTTTTAGATGGCGGAGGAATTGGGACGGCTTACGGTCCCCCAGCTCCTCGTGCATCATCAACTGCTTTAATTTTTTTTCGTTCGAAGCGGTTAGGCGTTTGATCAATTCCGCTTTCAANTTTTTAATTTTAATTAATTTTAATTTAATTTATCTGATGACGTTAAATTTCTTAGCAACTTAAATACTTACTTACTCGTAGTATACCTAATTAGGTATCTTCTAGCTGCTTCTAGTTCCGAAAAAAAAAAAGTTCAAAAAATACCAACACGCGATGTACGAACTTTATCTATGGTATGTCTGTCCTAAAACCATAACTTAACGTCAAATGGCAAAGCTTACCGCAGGATTTTACTCAAACAAAATAGCAATTCCGTAATTTTGACCAATACTTTCCCGTTGTGTTTAACTTGTAAGTCAATATCGGATAAAGTTTATCGAGGCAAGCATACCGTCGGCAAACAGAGGGCTCATGGGAGGCCCATGGCTATCGGTCACAGCCGCGCACGGGATTACCCACAATACGTGAACGAACGCCGCTGTGTCGAGGGTATTTCTGATTTGGGTTCCGCAGGAAAAATTATAGTTTAGGTGTGATGAGATAGGTGATGCTCGTAAATAAATGCAACTCACGGTTTAAATGGTATATTGTACATCCACAATGTTCTCATCACAAAGTATATAGTTCAGAAGGCACAATAGAATAAGAAGGGCACATACACACGCGGAAAACAGTTCCATAAAGCACAGAAAGTCAATAGGAAGGAAGTATATAAGCGAAAGTAGAAGTATATGAGCAAATAACAGATCGATAGTTAAAGCGGTTAGTAAGAGCGGCGTGCGCTTCGCGTCGTAGCAGGAATCCGACTGGCGGGGGGACGCGCGGGCGCCGCCGTGCGCTCGGCAGGTATATAACGCTTATGTACGACGCGGAACTAGTCCGGCCGAAAGGTCGATACGCGTATCGATACCGATATCGACAAACTAGTACGCATCGCAGGGTGTATGTGATTATAAGTAAATGTGTTAAGTATAAATAGATATTGAGTGGATTATAATAAATATAAATAAATAAATTTAATAGTGTAGATAATAATAAGTTGCCTACACCACCCCCCTCCAGAGACCGTCAAGGTCGATAATAGTCCGGAAATTGTACACGACGTCCAGATCGTGTAATGAATTCCTTTTGTTGAATGATGGTTGGGGGTTCATTGTCGAAATTCGGTTCCCTTTTATCATCAGACAGTAAAAAGGCTGGTTTGATACGGTTTATTGATACCGTGGCCTCCTTACCATTGAGTATTATTTTAAAAACTTTGTCGCCTCTTGTCAGGACTTTATGTGGGCCTGAATATGCCGGAGTTAGTGAACCACGTGAGGCATCTTCTCGAAGGAAGATATGGTCACTAGTGGCCAATTCTTTATAAACAAATACCTTTGCCTCACCGTGTCGTGAAGTAGGAACAGGGCGTAGCTTTTCAGCGAAATTGTGAATTCGAGCGATGAATTCTGACATATCGGTCGTCACAGGAGTAGTCGGCTCAAAGAATTCGCCGGGAAGCCTTAAGGACTCACCGTACACTAATTCGGCTGATGAAGTCTGCAAATCTTCCTTGAATGCTGTTCTCACGCCCAGCAGTACCCAAGGGAGAGATTCAGTCCACCTGCTATCGGCGTGGCAGACTATTGCCGCTTTGAGTTGCCTGTGGAAACGCTCGACTAGGCCGTTGCACGCCGGGTGATATGCTGTCGTTCGCTTGTGTTCAAATCCTGCCATTCGAGACAGACATTGAAACAAGCAAGACTCGAATTGACGCCCTCTGTCAGTCGTTATGTCTGTTGGGCAGCCGAATCTCGAGATCCAGCCTGATAACAAGGCCTTTGATACGGTCTCCGCTGTAATGTCTTCTATCGGTATTGCCTCTGGCCATCGCGTAAAGCGATCAATGGCAGTTAAGCAGTACCGATAGCCTTGCGACAGCGGGAGTGGGCCAATGAGATCTATGTGAATGTGCTTGAATCTCGCGCGTGGTAGGTGGTACGTACCGACTGGAGCATTGACGTGTCTGGTAACTTTGGCACGTTGACATTGGAGGCAAGCACGAGCCCAATCTCTGCAGTCCTTTCTGACGCCCGGCCAGACGAAGCGTTCTGCAACCAATTTTGCCGAAGCGTTGGCGCCAGGGTGGCTCAATGAGTGGAGGCTATTAAATACTTGCCTGCGGAAAAAAGATGTAACAAAAGGCCTGGGAGTTGGTGTGCTGACATCGCAGTACAAGGTATTACAACTTCCAGGTACTTGTCGCTTTTCTAAGCGCAGAGATGAACCTCCGTCTATTAAAGTTCGGAGTTCCGGATCTGAGGATTGGGCTTGGGCTAATGACTCGAGGTTGACTGGTTCGCTCAACTCATCGATACGCGATAGGGTATCGGCGACGACATTGTCTTTGCCTGATATATGTCGTATATCGGTCGTGAATTGAGCGATAAAGTCTAGGTGTCTAAACTGCCTAGGCGAACAGTTGGTTTTCCTTTCGTGAAAAGCAAAACTGATCGGCTTATGGTCCGTGTACACAGTGAAATGTCGGGCCTCGAGCATGTGTCTAAAATATTTGATGGCCTCGTAAATGGCTAATAATTCGCGGTCGTATGGCGAGTATTTTACCTGTGATGGGCTCAATTTCCGGGAGAAAAAAGCTAAGGGTTCCCATTCGCCGTCGTCATTACGCTGCTGGAGCACTGCGCCTAACGCCTTGTCTGATGCGTCAGTGACTAGCGCGAGCTTGGCTGAACAGCTGGGATGGGCTAGTAACGCAGCGTGAGAGAGGCTTTCCTTGCAAGCTTCGAATGCGGCTAGTGTATCTCCCGCCAGGTTGATGGGGTGTGATCCTTTTAACGAGCCTGTCAAAAGAGCATGCAATGGAGCTTGTATTTGGGCGGCCTGCGGAAGAAATCTCCGGTAAAAATTAAGCATACCCAGGAATCGCCTTAATTGTCTCACGTTGGTAGGGGCTGGAAAATCCCTAATGGCCTGCACTTTTGAGTCTAACGGCCTAGTGCCCTTCTCCGAGATAGAATAGCCTAGAAAGGTTACCTCAGATGCCCCGAAGACGCACTTCGCCGTGTTCACAAGCATGCCGTACTCTTGCAGCCTGGAGAAGATTCTGCGCAAGTGCTCTTCGTGTTCGGCTTCACTTCTAGAGAAGATCAGGAAATCGTCAAGGAACGAGTAAACGAAATCGAGTCCCCGGGTCAACTCATCCACAAACCTTTGGAATGTCTGTCCAGCGTTCCTAAGACCGAACGTCATGAACGGAAATTCGAAGAGTCCAAAGGGTGTGGTAATTGCAGTCTTTGGGATATCGTCAGGGCTGACTGGAATTTGATTGTAAGCCTTGACGAGATCGAGTGTACTGAAGACTTTACAACCTGCTATACTGTGGGCGAAGTCGTGGAGGTGCCTGATTGGGTATCTATCAGGTACTGTGCGGGCGTTCAGCATCCTATAATCGCCGCAGGGGCGCCAGCTGTTGTCTTTCTTTGGCGCTAGGTGCAGGGGTGATGACCACGGGCTCTCTGAGGGTCGAGCTGTGCCATTAGCTAGCATAGCTTCAAATTCTTGGCGAGCAATTTTTAGTTTGTCCGGAGCTAGACGGCGGGGGGAAGATGAAACTGGTGGGCCTGGAGTCGTGCGTATGTGGTGTACTGTGTTGTGTGGTGTAGTGCGATGTGTACCAGCTGGTCGAGTTATGTCAGGGAATTCAGCAAGAATTGTGTGATATCGAGTTTCGCCAGTCGAAACCTTTACAGAATGCACATTTTTACATATGGCAAAAGTTGCAACTGTTGCTATTGAAGTAGTGTTATCAATCAAGCGCTTATTGCGACAATCTACAATAAGGTGATAAAAATTTAAAAAGTCTACTCCTATTATGGGCTTAGAAACATCAGCTACTACAAAACGCCAGTTAAAAATTCTACGTAGGCCAAAATCTAAATTAAAATGTATATAACCATACGTTGCAATGTCCGAACCATTGGCAGCACACAAACTGAAGTTGGTCTTGGCACGACGATCTTGAAGGGCCGATCGAGGGAAGACACAGAGGTCGCTTCCGGTGTCGACCAGGAATTGCGTCTTCGTAGTACGATCGGTGATGAATAGGCGACCAGAAGTTGGTGGGCAATCGTCAGTCGCCATTATCGACTGCCCGTTGCATTTCCCGCCTTGTAGTCACAGGGGCGCACGCATTTCTTCGCCTTTTCTCCGAATTTACCATGAAACCAGCACAGCGGGTACTTCCGGTAGCTGGAGTCTGAGCGCTGCCTGGACGACGATCTGCTGTTGGAATTATGCGTCGATCGATTTTGAGCTCTGCTGTTTCTTCCTGAAGCCATGTTTTGGAATTGTCGTCTGAGTTCCGCAATTTCGTTTTTGAGGTCGATAAAAACGTTGGGTGTCACATCACTAACAGCGGCAACTCTGGGCGTTGAAGTGGCGAGATCGTTCACGCGGTCTGCGAGGTCGGCGAGATCATCGATACTTGTGTGCGATGGTTGACCTGCCAGCACTGTCTGCACACCGTGTGGTAGTCTGCTGATCCAGATTGTTTTTAGGAAGTCATCTGGGACGTCCACGCCGGCGAGGCTTTTTAGATGGCGGAGGAATTGGGACGGCTTACGGTCCCCCAGCTCCTCGTGCATCATCAACTGCTTTAATTTTTTTTCGTTCGAAGCGGTTAGGCGTTTGATCAATTCCGCTTTCAATTTTCCGTACTTATCTGTGGCTGGTGGGTTTATTATTATGTCTTTCACCTCACGGGAGTACTTGTTGTCGAGCTGGCTTATGACATAATTGAACTTGGTCGCGTCTGCCGTTATTCCACTGATAGAAAACTGTCCTTCCACCTGCGCAAACCATATTTCGGGCTCCTCTGGCCAAAACGGCGGTACTCGAACGGCGACTTTGTAAATTTCCGTTGAGTTTGGTCGGGTCGTGGCGCCATTTTGTTCGGTGGGTCCAAAGTCCGCGGCACCTTGTGCGTCTTGAAATTCTTTCTCCATGTCCAACTCGGGGTCACCAGTTTAGGTGTGTTGAGATAGGTGATGCTCGTAAATAAATGCAACTCACGGTTTAAATGGTATATTGTACATCCACAATGTTCTCATCACAAAGTATATAGTTCAGAAGGCACAATAGAATAAGAAGGGCACATACACACGCGGAAAACAGTTCCATAAAGCACAGAAAGTCAATAGGAAGGAAGTATATAAGCGAAAGTAGAAGTATATGAGCAAATAACAGATCGATAGTTAAAGCGGTTAGTAAGAGCGGCGTGCGCTTCGCGTCGTAGCAGGAATCCGACTGGCGGGGGGACGCGCGGGCGCCGCCGTGCGCTCGGCAGGTATATAACGCTTATGTACGACGCGGAACTAGTCCGGCCGAAAGGTCGATACGCGTATCGATACCGATATCGACAAACTAGTACGCATCGCAGGGTGTATGTGATTATAAGTAAATGTGTTAAGTATAAATAGATATTGTGTGGATTATAATAAATATAAATAAATAAATTTAATAGTGTAGATAATAATAAGTTGCCTACAATAGTATTATTGACGATAAATCATTTGTATTTTTGTAAATTTTCATGTTTAAGCAACTTTGGACACATTTTTCATGATTTGAAAAATATACTTAGGTACAGCAGAGCAATGATCAGCATCAAATATAGAATTACAATTTGACAAAAATAATATATGAGGATGTTTGTAATGTTATAGACGTAGAGATAGAAAGAAAAATCAACTAATATGAGTTTTCTACGTCTTCAATAAATATGAATTGCTCTTACAATTGGAATGTCTAGAATCTGACATTATTAAGTAGGTACATACAGTCATATTCCTTGCTTGTATAATATTATCAATTTTGGCTACGGAACCCAAGTTATTAAGATGATATCCACTTACTTGTATGTGTAGATTAATAGTATTATCCCTCTCGAGTTTTGGTTATTTTACCATTTCCTATCTGATGTCGACGTAGCAAACTCCGTTACCTGAAACAAAATAACAAATCGATCAGTAGGTTAAAGGTACGTATTCCTATTAAGATTAAGGTTATCTCGATCGACGATAATGAAACACAAATTACACCCTTTGTGTTACTCATGAACAAAATACTATAATTGGATACGAATAAGCCTCGTGAATAAAGGATACAATCTTTTGACGTGACCCTATTAAATTCAAATGAATGTAGATTCGGTGTGTGGAAAAAAGTAATGAAAAAAAAACTTTAGTGCCTTGTAAACAAACCATAAAGTTGTGGCTATTTTAAACATGTTTGATGTTATAAACATGGTTGTTAAGCAATATTACCACTGTCTATGGTTTTATTAATGTTTTTATTATTTTTTAAACAGTGAATTCAGAAAAAAACTTAAATAAGATAATTTGGTTTTTTCAAGTAATTTATCTTTGGGGAAAAGCAAGGCCTTTTCTTGAATTTCCTTACATGTGCTGCCATCTAGATCACCTTTTTAGAAACACTTTGCATGAAACGAAGTTAGAACCACAACGAAACGTTGACAAATTCTCACCGATAGGGCGCTGAGCGCTGAAATCTAACCATGCTAGATTCAGCAGAGGAATCAAAAAGCAACCCCTTGTTTCACGAAGAGCGCCATCTAGCGCGGGGTGGCGGGAATCGCTCAACACTGTGAAAATGGTTTGGAAAATTCTGTCTGTGAGTGGCGCGTTGTAGTACAGAAAAGTTCAAATAGGTGGCGCTGTACAGGAAAACTTAGAAAACGCATTTCCACGACATGGAAAGTGTTCGTAAAATTGTTACCAGATAGGTAATTTTTGTTTTTATACATATTTCAAGATTTACATGCAAAGTTTATGTGTACTCTACTAAATCATAACAGGTAATATAAAAACTCATTCATAGGTAAGTTATATTCTCCCACCAAATAGGTACTCTATTTTTATCTGAAGAGTAATGTAGGCAGGCCTGAAGAAATCACGATAATATTACAAACAAAAGAAGAAGTCTAGTCATCTTACAGTAATTAGGTTTACAAAAACATCCGAACGTTATACTTTGCCTAATCCCATCAAAATCAGACGTTTTTCATTTGCATATAAACAAAACCAATTCCGTAATAATGGAAGCGTACACACGAATTCGACTTGGAAAAATAAAACCTCGTTAAGGAAACAATTCCCATCACAATTGGCTTTATACCGGGCCAATAATGTGTTCGTCAAACAATTTTCAGCAATACAAGAATGCTCCATTTATATTTTAGGCAGAAATTCGTTTGCGACAACAAAAATGTTTACGTTCCACTTTTCTATTGATAAGGCTTATTTATGAGTTATTACTGGAAAGTGAATTTCTCAAGATGGCGGCAACTGTACCTAGTGGATGGGAAAATAAAACTAGCAGTTAATCGAGCGGTAAATAGTCCCAGATACTAGGCCTTCGACGAACACACGAGGTCGGGTTAGTGAGGAAGATACTTAACTGGAGAAAAATATTTTTAAGCGACCATGTCGAGCAGTTTGTATTACAATATTAAACTGGTTGTAATAACTGCGCTGTATTCAGGGACAAAGTGCATAAAGCACTTTTACACGTCCAAATACTTCAGCACAATAAATGGGAAAGTACTGAGAAGAATCAACACAAGAAAATCAGTCCCTAAGGGTTTTTCCATCGTCAGATATCTTTTAACTGAAGAATAAGCTTGTCATTTTGACATATTTCCCATACTGAAACCGTCAAAGTGCCAAAGTTATTCTTCTGTTAAGAGATATCCGAAAATTGAAAAATCGGCCCTAACTATTTTAAAGTGATTGTTAACTAAAAATAAGAATACTGATTTAATCCTGAAGAATTTAAAGAATAAGACTCATTAATTTCTCAAAAGTTATGAAGTGTGTTTTAGCATTAATTTTCATTTTTTCAGCTCCCAATTTCAAGATTTGCCCGCTCATTATACAAACAACTATTCAGCGTTACTTTGCATTATCATAAAAAATATTAGATTCGAATTCTCAGTCGTGTCTACTCTAATTTTAATGAAGTTGTCTACTACAGATCTTGTAAGTTCTTTGAAGAGATTGTTGCTATAATTAACAGACCACAGACAGAAATAGAGTGAATATTACTACAAAACGTTATCATACTATGAAACCTTTTATGAATATAAAGGTTTGCTGGAAGTCTTTGTTTAGAAGACACATTAAGGAACGTAGATAAGTTTATATAAATTTCTCTAGCCCTACCAACCACGATCAAAACTTTGATAAATATGTCATGTTATAGTCACGGGAATGACATTTACTTATCTGATAAACGGTTATCATCAACAACACTTCTTCACATGAAAAGTACTGGACGGATTTTGACGAAACTGTACAGTGTGGGCTTTTTTTAACCGACTGGGCTGATTTTACCATCTTCGGATAACTTTTAACTGAAGAATAAGTTTGGCACATTGACAGTTTCAGTATGGGAAATATTTCAAAATAGCAAGTTTATTCTTCAGTAAAAGTTATCCGACGATGGTAAAATCAGTTAATTTAATGTGAGTCAGTTAAGTTAAAACTAATACGATGGAGTAAATATAGGATTAGATCTTTTTAACACGTTCGCCGTCCACAAATGAAACAATATTTAAGCGTCCATTTGTTCAATATCATGCGGTGGGTACACTAACTGTCAAATCATTTATCATTACAATACGGTCAACATAATTTTCTGCACCATACAAACCGCAAACCTGGCAATCCAGTCATTTCAGTTGATTATTATTATCATTAGCAAATATTCCACTGGATGTCGAGATTCATTAACGTAACAGGATCGCGTGTAATTAATTGTCCGTGTAATTTCCATCCCGCTCTGATTGGTTGAGGTCGCAATAGTGATTTTCCTGTAATTCCGAGTACAATACATGCTTGTTTCGTACAATAAGTAAATTATTAAAACTAAAAGAACGTGTTGCACCTACTAAATACACGTTCGTAATATAAAATGAGTGTCTGAGAAAAAATAGGTACTTACTGAAAAAAACGTTAGATTACTGAACTTTTTTCTATATTTTTTCAAGTTATTTATCGAAAAATCCGTATTCTATCATAAGGCAAATAAAATATTTGTATTTAAAATATTTAGACTTAGCACAGAAATAAGTTATACACTGTCACCCTTAAAAGTTACACCCTAGTTGAACTTTGGCTTAAGTTGTCATTTAGTATGGAAATGTCATTTTAATCCGGAGTTCATCCTAGGTGTAACTTTTTATTAAGGGGGTGTAATTACGATCATTAGTATCAAGTATAATTACCGTTAAAATTAAGTTTTTACTACATTTCATAGAATTCATTACAAACAGAACCTGAAAAGGCCGGCTCATTTTCAATTATGTGAGATGTTTAATTAATAATTATATTATTAATCGAGTTCCCAGTAAATGTAATTTATGGTAATTTTAAGTTAACAATATTCAGATATGTGCCATTACTGTGTGGTATTTTCGCTTTTTTTTGCTTTCGTCATTAAATTAATCAATTAAATAAAATATATGATCGGGTCAAATAGTTCTATGGTACAGTCAGGGGCAAGTACGATTTTACAAAAAAACATTAATTGCTGCCAAAAAAAAAAATAAGACTGTATTTTTTGGAAAATTTATTTTTATAAAAACTTTGCTGTGGCCTCTACTTAACCCATTTAATTACCTCGTATCTCCTGGGAAGAGAGTCGCAGGATTTAAATGGCCACAATGGGAAAAAATCAGGTCAAACCAACATCGATTTACAAAAACTTTCATTTTGGAAGAGAAACTTGGGAAGTAGTTAATTCTTCCATAAGTTTATACAGAGTTACGTCAATATTTTATTGCTTTTAAGATCATTAAATATTTTTTGGGATTGAAGAATAGAACCTAATTTTCTTTGCTTTTGGTTCTTAGAAAATATGTTTATTGCCTATACCGGTAAATAATGGCGCTTTTATGTAAAATGGTATATGAAAGAGCATAAACGACATTTCGATTAAGCTTCAATAATATTTCAGACCATTTGTGAATTAATAACGAAGAAAAATTGAGGGATATTACAATTTTCCCACATTTATTTGCAATATTGTTACGTTAATGTGTATTATTATGTAGTTTTTGTTTCACATTAATTTTGTTAAAATAATAATAATTATTATAAAAGCTACTGTAATTAACTTTCGTACAGCGTAAACAGCTCTACAGGGGAATGAAGAAAACAAAGTAATAATAAACGTTGTGCCTTTATTTTTACGAAATGGGACTAATAATACTTTACATGTACTAGTTTTAGTCATATTCTAGTATACTTTGGTATATAAATTGTTTAGGTAAATCTTGAACAGGTATTGTTTGCGTACAACGAACTCATGTACAATAGAGGAAACGATTTTCTACAATTCACAGAATAGCAAATGAGCTGGAATTGATATTTCTACTTCTAAGTACAGAATGGGAAGTCTCAATCAATATTGTATGCCATAGGAATCATATAACAAACATTATGCAATACGTTTCCA